GCGAGATAGGGACTTGAACGTCGTAAACTGGTACGTAACATAGCCCTAGACGTCACTATCTAAGGACGTCTCTGCGAGATAGGGGCTCGAACGTCCGGGTACGTGGCGGTCAGGAGCAGAGATAAGGTCAGGTCCAGAAACGGTAACATTATCTCACGAGCATAGCTCCCATAAGGTCGAACATAGTAAACTGGTACGTAACTAACATAGCCCTAGAAGTCACCATCTAATGGACGTGTCTGCGAGATAGGGACTTGAACGTCCGGGTACGTGGCTGGTCCGGAGCAGAGATAAGCAGGTCAGGTTCAGGAACAGTAATATTATCTCACGAGCATAGCTCCCATAAGGTCGAACTAGAGTGAAGATATTGCCTAACAGAGCGCTAGAAGTCACGTCCGGGTACGTGGCTGGTCCGGAGCAGAGATAAGGGAAGATAAGGTCCAGGAATGGTGGAACATAACCTCAGAAGTCACTAGCTCAATATCGCCCTGGAAGTCCCTATCTAACGGACGTGTCTGCGAGATAGGGACTTAAACGTCCGGGTACGTGGCTGGTCAGGAGCAGAGATAAGGGAAGATAAGGTCCAGGAATGGTGGAACATAACCTCAGAAGTCACTATCTCAAGTATGCTTCCCCGAGATAGGTACTTGAACGTCGTAAACGTGGCCCAACGAAGGCTCAAAAGGGACTGGAATAGAGTGAAGATATTGCCTAACATAGCCCCAGAAGTCACTATCTCAAGGACGTGTCTGCGAGATAGGGACTTGAACGTCCGGGTACGTGGCTGGTCAGGAGCAGAGGTTCCCCCAACGGGGCTCAATATAGCCCTGGAAGTCCCTATCTGACGGACGTGTCTGCGACGTTCCGGACAATATGGAAGCTATGTTCAGCCACGTTGCGGGGGAGGCCCTCGATTTGCGACGTTCAAGTCCCTATCTTCCTTTCATATTGACTCCCTTGGCTCCAAGAGCACAATACCCCGTTCCAGATCGTGTTCCTTACTGGGCCCTGTTCCCTATCTCCAAACATGACCGGGGGGGGAACACCTCCGGAGCTATGTTCGGTGGAAATATTGTCCCCTTCCATGCGGTGCGGGCGGCTACCGTCGCGAAGCGACGTGAATAGCATCTCCAAGCCAAGGGCAGAACGGCATCAGCTTTGATCGTCATTGGCAAGAAACTGACCTCTCAGCAAGCCAGCCAGCCAATCGTGTCGGAATGAAGACGACCAATGCAGTTCCACATGCCAAGCTTCAGACCCTCGTTCCGTGAAACAGGCCGCCTGGCCTTCACAGCGTGTAGGGCAATGTACGGAATAACATGTACATGAGAGGAGAGTGAGGAAAGCACTGTGGTGGCACTTGCGAACCATTTGGTGCTCCCTGAGCTGGGATGAACAAATCTGTTGCCTGGCCAACAAGTCAGGTATCATCGTTTGCTTGTCAGTGCTTGAAGAGTCAATTTATACAATGAAGACACTGCCAGCACCACATCTGCACCATCCGGTATAACAGCGCCCAACCTGCTCATAGCTTGAATTCCATGCTAAGCAGTATGGCCAGGAGCTCCTAGTAGCTAGTAGCGATGCCAGGGGCCCCAGTAGCGAACCTCGTTACTAATTCGTAAAGGATCCCCGGACCGGACCTTCGTCGTCCATTGTACCATCGGATGATTCCCGTCCCTGATCAGCAGGTCATACGGCCAGAGTTTAATCCTTGCAGAATCTTTTTTGATATGCAATAGTTCAACCTAATAGGGATCGCCTCCAATCTACTACAGTAGCGATGGCCTCCAACCTACAATTGAATGAGCCCGAAACGTCTCACAGGCTTTGCAGGAGGAGGTGGTGCCTTCCAGGCACTTGCTCATGGCAAGGAAAAACGCATCTTGGCCATCAAAATCAAACACATGTCTCGTGCACCATGCTGCAGTTCCATAGGGAAGCCACGCTGCAGGGAGACCAGAAAAGGACTAAGCTACGAGCCCCGCTGGACCGAGCACCCGCTCTTCCAGTGAGCACCTCTTGAGCAGGAAAGCGACATCCAAGAATTCCTTCAATCAGCGTTTCTTATATCTGCTGCCTCTGTCAATATTGGTTGGTTCTGAACAATGTCATCCTTGACGATGTGGAAGAGTGTTGGGCAGTTCTTACAAAGAGTGCCCAGGGTAGTTTGTAGGAGCCTTCGGGATCTTTCCTACCAGCAAGAAAAAGGCATTCTATTCGGAAGCTCAAGACCTTATTGCAAAGCGTTCCTCTTGAAGGCTGGGGTGCGTGCCGTGGCGGGTGGCGGAGACCTGGCTTTAGACGAACACGTTGTAAACTGACCGATCAGAGACAGCTTGCCACCTTGGCGCTATGTCTGGCACCGGGCTTGGAGGCGGTTCCTGTGAGAAGTGGAAGTAAGAATTGAGGCGCTTCTCGCTACCTTGTGCTGCATGTCTTGTGCTGCACGTCCTCCGTGTCTAGCAGCAAGTTGTCAGGACCTTGAAGCTAAAACGAGAACAACTGCTCTTTCACAAAATCCATTCAGACCGGGGACGGATGGCTTTGACATCTCCCGTCGCGGACAACTTTACCTCACACTTCCAAAAACAGCTCAATGTCTGGGCAACGTACTTGCGTGAAAAACATGGTTCACATTGCTAGCACAACTCTTGCAAAAGCCTGGGGAACAACGAAAGAACCTGAACAATCCTGGAAATGTCTAAGACCATTCACCTCCCAGCGCCCGGAGGTGGCATCGAAGCGCTCGAGGACACCTCGCCTTCGAGTCAGGCTCAGAAAGCCAAGCAAGCCAAGCCAATGTATGATGGCTTTCGCATGGCTCCGAGGTGCAAACGAGCCATTCAGGGAGGCCGCCTGCTTCAGATTTGTCAAGGTTACCTTGCTTCGGGAAGTGCGGGTCAATGAACAAATGCACAGGGGAGGAGCCACTGGCATCAAACGTGTAAGGCGCGTTCCCGAAATCCAGGTAGGAAGTCTTGACCTGGCTGGACTTCAGCTTCAGGCCTGATCAGGTCTTCCAAGTTGTGGCACGCGTGATCACAACATCGTTGTGCAAATCAATCTTCTCAATGCCAGTTGCTGTGCAGTCCTCTGCTCAGATCCAGCAGCCTCGCTCTCTGTGCGCCTGCGTAGCTCTGCGCGGCTGTCTCCATGTGACTGAAGTTCACTGCAGGCTAAATGAATGCTTGGCCTCTTGCTACGGCCTCAGACGAACCATGAAGACACATGTCTCTCACTGTCCCTTTCTGTGAAACCAGTCACCGGAAATGTGTCAAACCAAAGTTGTAGTGTGGAACGAACGCTGAGTTTCTTGACTGCGACTCCTGCTTCGGCTGCTGCTGTCACTGCTATCATCCTGCACAAAAATGGAGCCCAGGAGTCGTGTCAGCCACAGAGAACAAGCAAACGATTGTCCTTGAATACTGCACGGGCTGCATTGGCACGCTGCCTTTCCTTCCAAGTCATGAACCCGGCCCTTGACCTACTTACTGGAAAACGTGAAGGTGCAGAATTACATGGTGCTCTAAGCCATTCTAAGCCTCTTCATCTTCTTCCTTTTTGCTCTTTTCATTTTGTTGCGCTCGCCTTAACAAGCGTCCCAAACTTACAACGATTCTCCGCTGAACGAAAACGACTTTTCAAGTTGCTAGCAACAGGTGTTTCTGAGCAGCCTACTCCGCAGCAAGCTTTCCTGTCAGAGTTCTGTCAATCAAACAATGCAATCTAAGGGCAGTCTGGATCTTTTTCATCACGGATGGTGACTACTGCGGCATTCAGCACGGCAGGAGCATGTTGCCATACCGCGAGTCTAGGGTTTACATCAATAGGCCAAATCGAGCAAAGCCACTATGGAAAAGACTGCGCGCCCTCAACATACAACAAAGTTTCATTCTCATCATTAGGGCCGGCGCTTTTCACGGTCTCCTCATCCATGAGGTCACTCTGAAAAGTCTGTCCTGACCATGGACCACAACTGGAATCATGACTACAAAATCTGTATCACTGTTTTAAAGTGCCTGCAGGATGAAGTGCAGGTGCATAGAACTTTAAGCACCTGACTTTCTCTGGCCACCAACCTTTTGGCCGCCTCTTCGTCCATAAGCCCCTCATCGCCTGTGGCCGCAGGGCGGCTCTTTCCAAACGGCACAGATTGAGGCTGAGCTCGTCGCCTCCACTTTGACTCTCAAAGCGACGGGACAGCTCATCATCTGTGTAAGCTCGACCGGCCCAAGTCCTGACCTTAGAACATGCAAAAAGTGTGAGAACATCAAAGCATTCACCGCATCTCGATCTCTCTCTCTCTCTCCCTCGCTCTGTCCCTCCAGGTTCACAGGGTCTACAGTCTACAGTCTACCCTGCTTTTTTGCAATACATTGCTCAAGGGCTCCAACTCGAGCATCATGTTCTTGGAATTGCCGCATCTGCGCGACAAAGGCATGTCTGTCGGTTGCTGGAGCCAGCCAGTTGGTGATTCAGTGGACTCATGCAACCCCAATGCAACCCAAAGAAAAAGAGCACTGATACTGCGTCATCCACCGTGCTCTTGCGCTCTTTTGCACAACGAGCTAAGTTAATGACAACCACGAAAGTCAAGCAGCAGAGGTGGATCTACAGAAGATCTATGAATGCTGTGAATCTTGGCCAGCAAACTGTCGTACTCTCTAAGGAACACAGCGCTTATGTTTCACATGCACCCACCTCTCAGCTCCTTCAAGAGAATGAAAGCTGGGACATACCGGAGGCAGTATGTCCCAGCATCTGCGAAGAGACGGGCCGCAGTGCTTTTCAAGATTTAGGTGAGACACCGCACGACCCAGGGGCCGGGAAGACAATCGCACCGCGATTCCCGTCAGCAAACACATCGCATCTGCCCAGGGCAGCCTATTCATGAAAGGCTCACAAATCAAGCGTCAAAATGTATAGCAAGAACGCGTATCCACTTTTGTTGCGGACAGGAGGCCACAGCTCAGCGATCCTTTTTGCTAGGAGTGGCAGGAGTGCTTGGCTTGTTCTCCAGCCGTCTGCGCTTGGCGGTCTCCACCTACAGAAGGACCAGCTTTGCATGCTTTCAACCTTGAACCTCCACTGGCACTTGGCACCTGCCTGCTCAGTCTCTCCGCTCTCCTCAGCTTTTCGGACTGACTCCACCAAGTACTGGAACGCATCCTCACAGCTTGAGGACACAAAGCAGTTGCACTAGGACCTCTGCTGGCACACTCTGCCCCGGCCTCTGCTGAGTCCTTGAAAACCAACATATCTAAGTGTGATTGCGTGAGCCTTGGCGGCATCAGCGCATAGTCTGATGAAATCCGATCAAAAGCACATGAAACAGCAAACGGCAAAAACATTCTCAGTTCGACACATCCCGCACTCAAGCAAATAGTCGAAATTGATGGCTTTCTTCCAGTGCTCTGCGCCCAACAATATAATTGGCATCGGATGTGTTATCTTCCTGAGTTGCGCAAATGGGCACACGAGCTCCGCAACCTTGAGCCGCCCATCTATGGACCAAGCGACTTGGTTTGCAAAAGCACCAGCATCTCAAAGAGTTCATCTAAGGACCCGAAGCCTGCACTGCCAGCACGTGTTGAACCCTTGCACACTGTTCGAATCTCTGACTCAACTGATCCTTCAGTCTTTCCCTGTCCTCCCGGCATCACGACCAGCCCCATGCACTTGTACGCCATCCAGAACTTCCTCATGAAGAAATAATGAAATTCAAAGGCGCCCTCTTCGGAGACGTACCTGGCCAGCTCACGACATCGCCATGAAGAATGGCTATGAATCCAACACCACCAGCCTGTTCAAAGAGCCCCACCTGCACAAGAACCAGTCCAGGCGAACAAATCTATGTAGATTGAGCTGAGCTCTGTCTGCCAAGCCACTCTGGTCTGCTGGCACCAAAGCCTAGCGTGGTCTCACCTGCACACAGTCCAAAACTCTGTGATTGACGTTTGTTGGAGAGGCGGGTTCCCACCTGCTTCATGGGCACCCCGGTTGGCTGCTTCCATGATGCCAGGCCCGCCACCTGTGCTGACGTGGTAGGACCTGAAACAACATAAAGTCGAAGCCGTTGCTCTTATGTCTCTTATGCCACCACCCGTGAGAACCCCACGGTTTGCCACTGGCGGCACGTTCCTTATTCCATTCGCCCAGCTTCTTGCCGAGCTCCAGTGCCATCCTTATGGTTTGCAAGCGGGGCATGCAGCATGTCTGTGTGCACGTGCGAGGATGAGCAGTGAATGCCAAGGTTCGAATAGAACTTGTCCATGTTCTGCATCTTCTTGGCGAAGCGTAACTTTGCTTGGACGGCCTCTACCTACCAAGGTGTATTTGGTATATTCACCAAAAAACAGAAAGAACATCCCTACCCTATCCTGAGGGGGGGCGTCGAAAATTGTAAGTTACATTTTCCTGCGCGCAGGGCCTCAAAAAATGTAATTACATTAACTTTGAGGTGGCCTCAAAAAAGGTAACTTACATGTTTGAGGCCTCATGGGTGATTTCCTGGGGAATGACCTCAAACATGTAAGTTACATTTTTGAGGCACAGAGGAGCGCTTACAATTTTAGACCCCCCCCCATCCCCACACTAATTTCTGCTCACGACCACGTCCCGCATGGTCAAATGCGGCATTTCAAGGAAATGCCTGCCGAAACATGTCAGCCGTCAGCCATCAAGTTGAATGATGCTGCCCGCGGCCGGCTGCATCATTAGCATTTTTTGAACTGAAAAAACAAATATATAAAATATATATGTTGTTTTGTTACAATTCTTTTTGGCCGGGGGGTCTTCCATACACAACTCCATACACAACTCCTTCTGCAGCAACAAGCCACACAAAAACAAAGCAGATGAGGGAACAGCAGTGGGTCTGAGTCATCATCAACAAAGAAGAACAGGAAGCACACCCAAAGCAAACTGCCAAGAAACAGGAACATACAGACATGTTCCCACTGAAGACCCCAAAGGAAGGCAACAAAGCGAAACCCAAACATAACAGACGATCACACTCCATACATAATAAGCAATAATGGAGAACAATAAAGGAGAGGCTGCCTGTTCTATTGGGCAGGAGAACAAGGATATTCAACGCCGTTTGATCCCCTGGCTTCTTGCCCCCTGCTTGCGGTTCGTGTGGTCGGACGTGTGTGCTTTTCAGTATGCTAAAATGTAAGTACCTCAGGGGGACACCCCAGTTCCTTGTAAATTCTGGGGAGTTGGGCATGTGGCCAAAATGTAAGTTACAATTGGTGAGGTCAAACTTTCTCACAGAACCCATGTATTCCCTGTAAAATCTGAGGGTTTGGATGCGTGGACTAATTGTAAGTTACAATTTTTGACGTCTGCAAATCTCACCTTTCGCCTGTGTCCTGGTCCTGCATTTTTGGAGGCTATGTTTTCCTTGGTGTTGAGGCATCAGCAAACAGTTGCCAAATAATACTTTTAGTTAATACTTATTAGAAAATATTTCATTAAGTGACTCCCACCCGCAAATAATTTCTTAGTGATTGGCGTATCTTCGATCTGCCAACGCACCCTAGGGGGGGGAGTAAAAAAAATGTAAGTTCAGGCCTCCCAGGTCCCAAGTTACATTTTCCATACCCCCCCCCCTCCCCTCGATCTGACGACCCCCCCAGGGGGGGGTTGGAAAAATGTAAGTAAGCACGTCCCAGGCAACAAGTTACATTTTTTTTGCCCCCCCCCTCCCCCCCCCTTGACTAGTTTCGATGGTGCCTGGGGGGGGGTAACTTACATTTTTTGACCCCCTAGGGGGGTACCCTAAAATGTAACTTACTTTTTTGAGGTCCCCTCCCGGAAGTAGCTCAAGGGGGTAGGGATGAAAGAACCTGGTTCAGATGCAGCAACATCAAGCCGCCAAGCCTCTTCTTCAGAAGTAATCTTCTTCAGCTGTTGCTCGAGCCCAGCAATGTGCTTCACCCGGTCCTAGGATACAAGCTCAAATCGGACGGGACACTGGCAAACTGTCCATCTTTTCATCAAGCAATGCGGCTGTCCAGAAAGTGCCCCTTCCGTTCGCGAAGCACATAAGAACCGTTGTTGCATAACTGTTTGGTTCAACTGCCGGGTTTGATATGGCGCTGATCAACTTGGTCGTACAACCCCACCTCTGGGTGCATAACCAAGTGCGAACCAACCTGGCGCATTGTCACCCACAAGGCAAAACAACTCGCCGACTCGAGACGAAGCACTTTACCTGAGAAGGGGGGGGCGAAAGCCAGCCACCGTAAAAGATACCAATATGGTTATGGAGAGTGAATGAGAAAGCCCTGGTGAGCTCCCCACCTCTTTTCCTATCACCTCCTCCCCCGCTATGCCCATTTTGTCCATGAACTCCCACTCCATATTGGGTGCCCTTTTGCGTCTGGACAACAGGCCTCTTCACCATAAAAAAGGGCACCCCCAAGCAACTCAAAGCTTGCCCGCTGCATTCTGTTCCCTCCCTGTTCTCAATGAGTGGGTCACATCGTTTCTTGCAATCCTATCACGTCCTCCTCCACTATGCCTTTCTCGTTTTGGGGTCCGGCAACTAGACCTCTTCACCATTAAAAGGGCACCCCCAAGCAATTCAAAGCTTGCCCGCTGCATTTTGTTCTCTTTGCTGCCCTCAACGGACCACAGCATTACATGAACTCGCACCCCATATGGGGCGCCGTCTTACATCATTAAAAAAGGGCACCCCCAAGCAACTCTAACATTTCTTGCAAACTTTTCCTACCACGTCCTCCTACACTATGCCTGTCTTCCACCTTCCCCACAGCATTCTGGTTCCTCACAGATCACACAATGTCTTAAGAGACGCACACCTCCCTTTCACACTATTTCACTGACCATGAGAGGCGTCCTGGGCCCCTTTAACTCACTTCGTTCGCTCCGCTACCTCAAGCCTAGCCCATCGGCTGGCTTTCGATATATATATATATATACCTGAGAACGGGGTGAACGAAAGCCAGCAGCCGCCAGACGAGAGGGTCATTTGCTACATAGCAAAAGGTTCGGGAGAAGGTTGCGGGGCAGGTCCATGAGGAGGTTCTGGAGAAGGTTCCGGAGCAGGCTCCAAAGCAGACAAGGCTCCAGAGGAGGGCTTAGACAGCGAAGAGACTGTCAGTGGCGCTTCTTGCTGTTGGGGACTTTCCTTGGGTCCGCCCAAAAAATAATCATACGTCGCAGCTACACCCTCTTCCCAGAGACATAGAGACACAGAACCACAGAGACATAGAGACACAGAGTCGCAAAAGACAGAGACATCAAACACAGAGAAGTTGCTATCTACAGGGGGTCCTTTTCTGATAGCAACTTGTCGCTGCCAACCAATTACCATACCTGCCCCAATACATCCAAGGAGACTTCTCTGACAGGATGGCTAGGAGGATGGCAGGAACTATATGTCTCAGCATTGGTGTCACCAACCGTGATCTAAAAACATGGCATAGATCCGTGACTATAACCAATCCTTAAGCAGCAAGTTCTTCACGCCACCAAGTTGTTATCTACACGGGCCCCTGTTCTGATAGCGACTTGCCAACCAACAACCATACTTGCGCCAATACATACAACCTCTATCTATCTATCTATCTGTCTATGATCTATCGATCTATCTACAGTATCTATTGGAACAACGTTCGGTGCACGTGGACGCCGCGAGAAGCATCCGCTCGACGGTACAGGTATAGTAGAGACTAGGATGGTCGCTCTGTACATGGGTGCCTGTCTCCACTCTAGTGCTCAATGCCCATTGTCCAAATAGCCTCCACAGCCCTTCGTGATGCTAATGATGCACTACTTGGCGTCCATTGCAGCGCTCTCCCCAGCCAAGCTCCGGGTTCACCCTCTCAAATGGTGCCTTTTCGCGGCCTACCCCCCCACACCCCCTTTACTCACTTCGTTCGGTCTAAGAGCTCAAGCCTAGCCTATCAGCTGGCTTTCGTTATATATATATATATATCCGCAGCTCCAAGTGATGGGAAAGCACGCCAAATAAGTGTATATATATATAGTTATGCACAATCCATGCAACTATTGCCGTCAAGTAGCTATGATGAAATAGTTGTCTATGGAGTGTGCGTCAAGGCGCTTCATGGGCTCATAGAGTTCGCACCTGGGAGCTTCACACAAAGATGGTTTCTATATGTGTCATGCACAATGATCAAAGGCAAAGCGGCATGATCCTGATATGTCGCGAAGTGGGAGCTCCCAACCAATCGGGATTTTTGTATGCCTGACATCTGCGAAGCATCTGCGAAGCTCAGACTTGTTGGACTGCCCAACTGGCCTTGATGGTCGGGACATTCTTCAGCTCACCGTTGCTCGCCATCCAGGTGTGCAGCTCACCACACCCCGTTTTATGACAAGCTCACTTCCCACAAGCTGGCTTGAGCCTCGAACCTTCGGCTTCTGTGTTGTGGGAAGACCGCTACGCTGTTTAGGTCAGGTCAATTGCGGTACAAGGGTCCATTGACTGCGAAAAGAACAGCTAGCAGCTTGCACACTCTTTTCGTTCGGAGCACTGCATCCAATCAGTTGGCAGCCGCCCCTTGGCAGCCCGTAATCGAGGATATTGACTTCCCTCCAACCGCCAGGCAAACAACTACTTCAGGAAGCAAAACTCACCGTGAACCGCTTCGACGGCTTCGACGCTAATCATGTCCCCTAAAAACTCTTCGTGACTAGCTGCCAAAACAGTAGCCGAGTAGTTTCATTAGCCTGACAGCCGAAGAATTGCACCACAGGTTTCCACGTGGTACCATATCAGATTCAGAAATTGCTGCTCCACCAGCAAGGCTCCTTATGCCTTGGCCTTTGCCAGCTCAGCTTTCAATGTCGCATTTTCCTCTTCAAGCGCTTTGATCTTCTCCTGTGCTTCAGCCAGCTGCTTCTTTAGGTCTTTGACCGAAACCACAGCCGGTGCGCTCCCACCGGATGCTTGAACCTTCTGCGTGCCCGGCTTCATGGGGGTCAAAATGGGCTGCCGACTCTGCCCAGCAAGCCAATCATCAGAGGTCATGGCTGGAAGTCCTGCCACACAGTCAGGAAAAATGTCTTCTTGGAAGGCTTCACTTTTCCGAGGAACACGGAAAGAGACTGGCTGAATAGCTGCGCTTTCCAGCTTCAAGCCCTTCATGACCTCATGCACGCTCACATCCACACATCTTTTTGGGAGGAAGTCGAAGCCCTTCTGAGGCACTCTCGATTGGAAGGCTTCGATGTAGTGGAAGTAAGGCTCGCAATTCACCACCTCAAAGTACCGGACATTGCTGTCGCCCTTTCCTGCCAAGTACAGCATCTGGGTGCCCGGGTCGAAGAAGGGGTAGAGGGATCCTGTGCCTTGGTCAACCGTCAGAGCTGTGAGGGAGCCTCCCTCACTCCCATCCTCTGGCATCTTGCGGATATCCCAGAGACAGACCTGCCTCTCTGCCTGTGACGTCATTCCGGTGGTGATGATGGTATTGCATTCCTCAGGTGAGGATGAACTGCCCACCCACTCCACTTTGGTCGGCTTAGGACCCTCACAAATCTTCGTGGCAGCCGCAATCTTGGACTGTCTTGGATCTACAATGTGAAGTTTCTTGTCCTTGCTGGTGATGGCCAACAAAGAACCGTTGTAGTTCCACTTCACATGCATTACCTGGTCTGGCACCGGAACGGTGAAGGATACTTCCTGCTCGGCCAAATTCCAGACTTTGCAAGTCATGTCGAAGGATGTGGAGGCCAGAATGTTCTCTGCGCTTGGATTGAATGTGCAAAATGACACCTTCTTCCCATGTCCTTCGAGGGTCAGGACTGGATCTTTCAAGTGGCTTGAAAGTCCTTCATCAGGAATCTGCCATAGTTTCAAGGTAGTGTCCTCACTTGCGCTCACCAACAAATTGTCTGAGAAGGGGCTGAACTCAAAGTCCATGATGCCACCCGTGTGTCCAGCCACCAACGGCAGGTCTCGAGGTAGTCTGCCATATCTCGTGCTGGGGATGACCGCCAAAGTGCCACCACCTCCCGCTTCCCATGGGATACAAATGAATTTCGAGTTTCCCCGGATACCTGTGGTCTCCAACGGCTTGCTGGACAACCTCAGGTCTTGGAAGCTCTCCTTCGAAGCGTTGCCGAAGACGTGACGAAACTTGGAATCTCTCACCACCTTCATTGTGGGCACCACCAATCGCGGATCCACACAATTTGAGCTGGTAGGTAGATGGCACGGACGGTCAAGTAATGTTGGGACATGAAATGCACCTCAAAAATGTGGAGTTGTTCGACTTGACTTTATGATTGTCAGTGTCGAAAGCCTTCCTTCACTTTTTGTCCATAAACATTGAAGCAACACGAGCACTTGATTCCAGTTCAAGCGGTGAAAATCCGCATCACGTGCCGTCGGCAGCTGCATAAATTCGAGTCACTTGTGGACCTGCTAGAAAAACGAAGGGCTCAGGCTCACCTGCAAGTTTCAGGCAACCCCGCCCAAATCCCTGGGGAAAAAAGGCCACTGAGCTCCATGCATCCAAGGCATCTCTCCTCTCTTTTGTGCCTAGTGCACCTCAGCTTCCTCTTCACCTCTCTGCCAAACAGTGTCCAAAGCGACTCATTTGTGAAGTCTACAGTTGATGCAAGTCACTGCTGCCCTCTTACCTCGGGACATGGCAATGCGTGAGGCGTGAGGGGCAACCCAAAGCGGTAGAGTTGCTACAGTTGAGTCAGCGTAGAACATCTCCACTCTTGGTTGATACAACATACGACATTGTTGAGGCCCAACGTGAAACAAAGCCAGCCCAGGCACGCGCAATGGCTGCCTCAGTGGCCTTCAACAAATGTTCCATGTCTGATTGCCTTCTCTTCATAGCAGCCTCGATGTTGTCAAGAGCCGCGCTGAGGCTACCAAAAGTGCTCGCACGCTCCTGGAGTGCTTCCATCATGAACAGCAGAATTGAACCCACCCAACACAAAACGCTCTTGTAGGCCAGTCTTGTGACTCTTGTGAGACACTCTTGAAGGACACTTTTGCTTGACACTCTTGCGCAACGTTCTTGCTGGCACTCTTCTGAGACAAACATTTTGCGTGACTTCTTCCAAAAGTGACGTGGGAAGCTCTAAAACGAGCAGTCTCTAAAAAGAGCATTTCGCACCAAATGTATTCCAAATGCATTACTTGGTCGTGCAAAACCCCCTCAAAAGTGTGAAGACGCCTGCTGCCAAAGCGAACAGATCACGACCAAGCGTCGCAGCCTCACGCAAAAACCTGGGATTGCGGTGCCTACCATCTGTCCCCCAAGCCGCTCACTTTATTTGAGCATCTGCCAAAACGACCCGTCAAGCAAAGGACATGATTCAGCAAGGCTATCGCTTTTGAGGGGGGCCTATCGCTTTTGCAGGCTTCGGCCACAATGTCAACATACCGGAACATATCCAAAACAGGGGGGCCTATCGCTTTTGCATGTTGCCTGTTTTAGCCCAAACCCTGAGATTGACAACCGCTCGTTGCTAAATTAGTCATGAGTCATTGGACGTTTTGGCGGGTGCTCATTTGGGTTGGTGATTTCGCCGGTTGCCTGCTACTCAGATAGGTGACTGGCTGGCTGGCTGATTGTGCCGACTACTTTGGTTAGTGGCTGGCCGGCTGGCCGGCTGGCCGGCGTGCTTTGGACATTTCAGTGATGCGAGGGTGGCTCCCTTAACTTTCAGCCCGCAGCCGCCGAACATTTTGGTGGCTGGCTGGCTGGCTGGCTGGGTTTCGAGGCTGACTGGATGAATCTGCGTGGGTACTTACATATAGGCAGCTGGCTGACTGATTCCACCCCTGCCTTCCTCCCTCCTTCCTCCCTTCCTGCCTTCCTCCCTTCCTGCCTTCCTTCCTCCCTTCCAATGTCCAAACTCCATCTGCTCCTCTCTCCATCTTCCTACCTGCTCTTCTGTGTCTTCGCGGGCTCTTCCCCGGAGTTCTGGGCCCCTCTTTTCTGACCTCAAATTCCATCGAAATCACAAGTTTACCTTAGGTTTGTCACCATAAACACCTCAAAACCTCCAAAAAGACCATCCTCGAAGGGCAATCTCAACGGCCTTGATGTGGTTTTTCAGTCGAAAAAGGAAACTCTTCGTCCATACATAGCTACCCCGATGGTAGGGCACCACAAACGCCACCATCGCCCAAAAACCCTTAAGACAGAGCCTAGTGTACGACTTGGGTAGCGTTTTCATGTGTTTGTGTGTGCGTTCTGCTAGAACTCCCTCTCCCCGCTGCAGGCCACAAGTCCTCGCCAGTCAGCTCCAAGTGCACAGCGCCCAGTTTCTCTTCAAAGGTCACAGACTCGCTGTTTAAATGCTTGGTCCGTAGTCCTATGGCGTCTCGAAACTTCTGCTGACTTGTTGGTTCACAAGTCTCTTCTTGCTTGGCAACGTCTGCATTCATTGCGAAAGATGTCTGAAGTGCCACCAGTGATGACGCGCCCGCCCTTGGTTTTCAAGTCACACCGCTTTACGACCATAAATTGCATGATACCAACTCACTTGCAAACAGAACGCATTTGTCTGTATAGAACTCATTTCTGCCTCACGTCAAGAAACTGGCAGCACCCCAACAGCCCGAGAAACCGTAGCATCTTTCAGCCTGTGGCTCACCTCAAGCAATTTCTGCCAGCCTCTGCTGAATTTCAATCAAGTAGAATGAGGAACTGAGGGGCTGGCCGAATCAAGGATACTGTCAGCAAACTGCAGCAAGTATAAGGATTGCAACTGATAGTGCGTTCGGTCTCAAGTTGGCTCAACGAGCTGTGAAGCCAAATCATTGCAAAAACACAAGAGCCATCCTGATGTATACATTAAGTTCAAATCCAAGGTTATCGACGTGCAGTCTAAAACTGAATACAAAATGCATCTCTATCTGTCTATCTATCTATATACCTACCTGCCTACCTACCTACCTAGCTAGCTATCTATCTATCTCTCCATCTTTCTTTTCTCGGTTCTTTTCAAGCTCAGCTCATTCGACTCCCGCGCCAACAAGGCAAAAGCGGGCCCCTGCAAGGATCATTCGCCTTGGACAGGGGAATGCTAGGTTGGGCTCCTCGATCGTCCACCACTGCTCCAAGCAAACAACTAGCTGTCAGAGCTTGCCAGGAGCCTGAGTTTCATCTGCCCATCCTCGTCACCACACTTCTGGGACAGCCATCCTTGACCTCTTCCTTGGTGGGTCTTAGTGCTGCGACCACAACGACTGCAGGCAATCCATTCCCCCCTGTGCCACAGATCATGGGCCGAATGCACTCGACATCTGAGCTGCATAGTGTCGGCAGTGGCACGTTCATAGCGGCATGCTTGACCTTTCAAGGTCATCAAAGCTGACTTGCCACATCTCCTTTGGCCCAACACCGAAGGCAACTAAAGGTGCTAGAGCGAAGAGTCCACCTGTGCCCCGTCTCCTCATCCGGCTTCTGTGCACTGTCGTCTACCATGGCCTGCATGATCTGGGTCAAGGTTTTGCTGCGCACTCCAGCACAAATACTGTTCTCCTTTTTCTCAATCTCACTATGTGTGGAGGATGCCTTGATGTTCATCCCACATGCTTGGCATTGCACGCCACTGCCCTTCACCAGCCATTGATGCTGACCGTCACTTGGTGTCCTCTGGGACAAACGCTGCAGGATCTCAACACGCCCTTTTGGCGCCAGGGCCTTGAGTTTGTACTCCAGCTCGACTGTCTCCAGCTGGTTGTGCATATAATGACCCTTATCCTGTAGAAGGGCACTGATGGGAGCAGCTGCAGTCAAGTAGACCTGTTGATGCCAACTGTCTGCCGGATTGCACCAGGTCATCAGGCGCTTCACGACGAGCCCCCTCCTGTGCACATTGACACGAAGCATCAAACTGCAGCCATGCCCTCATATCATCAGAAGCGGCTTGAGCCTGGTCCACTCTTCTGCTGCCACACTATGCCACAAGTCCGCCACCAGCACACTTTTGGGCCCTTGCTGGAGTGCCTCCCATCCCTGACGGTGAGGAATGTTGATCTGATGGCGCGCCAGAAAAGCCTGAATGGCCAACCAGCAAACATAGACCCACGCTCTGGCTTCACTGGGCTTTCCCGGCATGACTGCCGTTCAAGTGCCACTCAGCTGCCATGTTCCATCAGGCCATTGGCCCACAGTGACAGCAACCACATAGTTCTGCACCCTGGCATCTTGGCAAGTTGCTTTGACTCCAATGGCAATCCGCTGACTTAATCCAAAACGGGTGGGCTGTCCTGATGCCATAGCGCCCGTGACTTCACAGGATTCAACACCAACCACAGGTCGGAAAGCAGGGCCATCAATCATGCCACGGGCCCACAACATGGATTCCTCATTGGCAGCAATCATCCGCTGCCACTCTGCTGGAAGAGGTTGTTCATGGTAGCAACACTCCCAGATGAGGTGCTTCATAGCGGAGGGCACACGGCCCGGCCCCCGCTGATATGCGTCCTCAGGGAACCTTGAGTCCAGGTACGTAGTCGAGTCAGGCTTGCGCATCATTGGAAAGCAATGTTCTAGCTCTTGGATACGGCGGGCTCGCTTCAGGGCCAGTTCAGCATGGAGTTGCTTCTGCAGATAAGACCATGGGAATTCAATGTTGAGCTGAACCGCAGGCACCCAGTCATCCAACGCTCCGGCGTCCCACACCATCTCCATCAAATAGGCCTGAAGGGCGGCCATAGGGCCCGCAACCACCATCCAAGGATGCGCTGCTGCTTGTAACCTCCTCCATGTAAGCCGCCAAGCTGACACCAGTTCTCCTCGCTGAGCAGGCGGCCACGCTTGCAGCAACTGATGCATTGCTTTTAGCTGACGTTGAATGGCGGTATCTCTGGGATCTTGCAGCTTGCCATGTTGGTCAAAAACAATGTCCATGCCTCCACCTTTTCTGCAAACCCCCATGCCTGGCCAATTGACTGCGGAGGGTTCTCATCCGCTGGGGCGCCATGCCCTGAGCTTGAATGCCATAGCCAACCGCTGCGTGCACCGAAGTCTTCCACACTCGGATCCTCACTGGCCTGGACCGCAATTTGAGGTGGAGCAGCTTGGCCTGTCTGCCTCTGCCCTTCAACAGACGTTTCTGCTGTGCGCCAATGCGACGGCGGCGCCCCCCACTTCAATCCAATCCAAGATCCTTCAAAAGGTCATGGGCCTTGGGTTGATCTGCGCCTCTTACCATGTTCAGGTGGCGCTTGCAGTCACTCGCGGATGTGAGGAATCCAGTCTTGCTCACTGACAACTTCAGACCAGCAGCCTCCAACCCCTGCTTCAACTCTTCGTAGCCGGCCAAGGCTTCAGCACAAACCTCTTGGGCCTCCTGGCCTGTGAAGTCGACTGAAATGTCATCGACCCACACATCAACAGAGGATCGGGGATGTTGCTTTACGAAGTCTTCAATGACCGGGGCCAAGACGAGTTTTGCAACGAGCGGGGCCATGGGGCAACCTGCTAGAATGCCTCGCTTGCAATGAACCGGACTGCTGGTGACCTGCTCAGCCTGCAACATGCGAGGTCCACTGTATACTTCAGACAGGAAATTGGCGTGAACAGCTGGGAAATCTAGCGGTTCCCAAAGGTGCAGCAGCTGAGCCAGTTCAACCGAATCGTAGAAGCACTGCAAATCTACCAACAAGGTGACCACATGCCTGCCCACTGCACGTCCAACCTCGCACTTGAGGAGTCTCATCAGCGCTACTTGCAAAACCTGTGTGCCAGGCAAACTGCGTCCCCAAGGCAATCTCTGTCCAATGCTGCTTTGCCAGTGACGCAGCTTGTTCCACCGAAGTTTGCACCACGTCCTGTATAGCACACTCGTCAAGGAGATGGGCCTCTCAATTTCTTCTTTCTTGGGCAGCAGCAGAACCAAAGTGGTGCAAACTTGCTCCGGCAAGCGGCCTGCAAGTTCCCAGCTTCGAAACATGTTGCAAAGGTCTGTGACTCCTTCGATGGGCAGGTTCTTTAGCAGAGCGTAACTGATTCCATCTGGGCCGCATGCTTTTTGGGGAAGCTTCCTCAAGCGCTTCATGACTTCGCGAGGGTCCAAATCTTCCCACCTCCTGGCTTGCTGTATGGCTTCCCACCGTAGTCGTTCTCGCTCTCCACTATGATCCGGCGCGTCAATGGCTTCCCATTGTCCATACCACTGCTTTTCACGAAGCTTCTGCCGGTCTTGCACTGGGATGTTCCTGAAGGGCCGAACATGCACAGCATCCGGCGCTTTGAGGGAGCGGTAGATGCCGCTGTGGCCTCGAAGTTTGGCCTGGGATAACCACTCTTGACATTCATGAAACTGTTGCTCCAAAGCCAATTTCTTGGCATAGTCCCGATTTGCTTCAGCCCCTTTTGTCAGCAAGGTCAGTGGGCTGCCAACTCCAGATAGCAGGTCCTCCTAGGCTGCTGCAAAAGCTTGTTTGCCGCGCGCATCTTGCCACCGGACATTCAGGTCAGCTGCTTTGGCTTTGAGGTGGACCATCGTATTGGAACCAATGAAGCCACTGCCAGCTATGTGCGACAAAAGGGAGCAGAACTGTCCCCAGTAGGCCAAGTCACCTTTCTTCCAGGGGGACAAGGGCTTGGTGGTCGGCAACGTCTTTAGCTCCAAGGCCAAATACCATCCCCTGCCCAGCTTGGGCTCATGTAGATTCTGCAGCACATACTGCTCTGCCTGATGGCACCATTCTGCACATTGAATTTCTTTGGGCCCAACCTGCCGTCCCAACCAGAAAATCTTGGGTTGTGCTTGAAATTCATCCCATTGTCTGCTGGCGTCCTCTAACCTGGGCACAGCTGCAAAGTGCGTCAGTTGGGGTAGGATCAGCCGCGGAGCCGCCTTGTTGACTGTAATAAGCCGCCTGAGCTTCCGGCGGCATTGTCCCCCATGCCTTCTTCAGGGTGGATTCGATGGCATTGGGTACTTGCTTGGTCTTTGCTCCAAGGCCTGGTGGTGGATCCACCTGGGGCCGCACACGTCCTCGTGGCTTCCTAACGGGGGAGGTACTCTTCCAGTCACTGTCAGCACCAGGCCATGGAGTGCCACATTTGTTACATCCCCATCTCTGGGCATTGATGCGATCTGCCCAGATCCAGGATGAGCTGCAGCCCGTACACGCCACATAGCGCCTCCTCGTTCTCACCTTCTCAAAGTCCTGGAAATAGCCCCCCATCATTCCAAGGAACAAACTCGGTGAGGCTCACGTCAATCTCAATTACGAGCAAGGGCAAGGCCACCGAACTGGTAGGATTTACCAAAGGCGCCTTCAAGCAAGTAATGGCTACGGATCTCTCTATCTCTCTCTATCTCTCTCTCTCTCTCTTTCTCGCACGCACAAAGTGAAGTAAGGCCGACCTCACAGCTTAGGCCGGACTTGGTAGGAGTTTGTATGATTCACTTCTGTGGAAGCACCTCCGGCATCTTGATCAATCAATAGGTTCAAGGCCCAGTAAGGCAGTATGCGGTACACATGTGTAGAAATACGCAACACCATTCAAGCTAGTGGCCTGGAGGCCAGTGGAGGTAGCCTGCGTCCTTTGGAGAGAACAATTGAAATGGAGAGCTTGAGAGGTACTTTTACAAAGGTTTTGTGGGTTTTCTTTTCTTAGCTCCGCGTCTAATGAGCAAGCCTCGTATACGCCAATGAACCAAGCATGGACTTTGCGTTCTCGCGCCGGCGCAACCGGCCCACACCACAAAAACCTTTGTCTTCTCGTTTTGGCGGCATCACCATGACCAAAGGATTGTTTTTTGTCATATTGTCAAGCAGTTTGGGCTGAGGCT